TATATTGCCTCTATGATTTTTGTGAACTGATAGTCATTTCTATGTGCTTCTGCTAATATTCTTCTTGTTCTAGTTCATTATTAATAATTTTAACAAATTTTATAACATTTTAACATTTTCTTTATGATAGTGAGTTGAGTTTGAAATTCTTTAAACATCAGTACATAATATTTTTGTTATACTTTTAAGGATTTGGCCAGTTGTAGAAATTTTCATCAGTATCTCAGTCTCAAATTCCCCAGGTCACTAAAGCAATTACATTTATCATTTATGGATTTATACTTCGTTAATCTGTAGGCTAAAATTCTGCACTACATGGAAGCATTATATTCACCTGACAATCTCTTTCTCTTTCGTTTCCTTCCCCTTCTCCTTCCTTCTCTAACTTCCTCTCTTACTTACCTTCTAATTGCTCTTTCATTTAGCTTCTAAATCTCTTCTCTTGAGGTATATAAATTCCTCAGTGGCAAAGGTAGAAAACTTTTGAAAGCTTAAAATTTGTCAAACAGCAATAAGCCATACCCTTTATTAAGGGAGAAAAACAATAACAATAGTTTCAATGTGCCTAAAGTTTCCTAACAATTGCAGAAAATAAGTAAGAATCATTTATTTTACATATTTAATGTTGCCACAGTAATTAGCTATAATATAGCTAAGTACTAATGCTATCTACTTTATAAATAATGTTAATATTTATAACATTTCTGAAAACAAAAATAGCCCTTTAGAAGTTTTTAGGTCTTCTTTTTTTTTTTTTTTTGTCACTTATGGGGCTTGAACCCAGGGTCTGTGGCACTGTCCCTGAGCCTCCTTGTGCTCAAAGCTAGTGTTCGACCACTTGAGCCCCAGCACCACTTTCAGTTTTTGAGCAGTTCATTGGAGGCAGAGCACTAGCCTTGAGCACAAGGAGGCTCTGGGCTAGATTCAAACTGCCATCTTCAGATCTCAGCATCCTGAGTAGCTAGGATTACAAGCATGAGTCACTGGTGCTTGACCCCTTAAAAATTTTTGAATACATGACTGTCTGCTATTTTTACGAATTACTTTTTTTCTCTAGAAACACTTTGTAATTTTCATAATTATTTGGAAGCATATAATCTGTGTTCTGAAGAATTTAATATGTTCTGAATTGTAGGAGTCTATTATTTTTACTTGAGTTATAGCCTTCCTAGAAACCAATTTCTTAGCATCAGTTAGTGCTAAGACTTTTTGGAATTTTACAGAAAAGCATATTTCACAAATTCAAGTCACAGGTCCCCTAAGACAAGTTCTATTTTGGTGTCTACATTTACAATAGCTGACACTGTCACAGTCGTTCACCTTCATCATTAAAAAACCATATAAAGTTCCTTTCTCTGCTAAACTTAGAATGGTAAGTGCTAGCCTCATAGACTTTCAGTCCTTGGTGTCTGTCCAGAGGTGTAGAGGTGTAGGTAGCCGTAAGACAGGGGCAGATCTTAACACGGTGAGAAATCACCTCAACTCAAAACTACTTGTGAAAAGCAAAACTTTTTATGGATACTTGAATACAAACCAGTTTTAAGTGAGACATAAATATAAGAAAGGAACAAGGCCTGGGTAGAGCATCCAGTCTGCCCTGCTAGGTTAGCTTTGGTACACAGTTATGGGTGTGTTCTCTCCTGACTCTCACACTCCACAGATTCTATGTTGATCTTAATCACATCCAGATATTGGTGTCTGAGGAAAGCAATGATTTATAGTCTTTTGAAAAGACTTAATAATACCCACAATGATGTTGCTCTGAGATGCTTCTAGAGATGATACTGGGGGAGCTCATTGGACATAAACCACTAAGGAAGCTGTTTGTGAGGTGAGAGGCAGAGCAAAACACATTCAGTGATGCCATCAACTATGAACCAGAGACGATTCTAGAGGCTGTTACTATGAAGAACCCGGTCTTATGTGGAAGAGCCTAAAGAAGTCGTTCTAAACATTATTAAGAACAATTAGAATTACTTCAAGATGAGTACCCAAGCCACTGTGGACTCTTTCTCTACAGACCCATTACAAGAAAACCACAGATGAGGCAGGAAGGACTTTTCAGCCCTCTTTCTACTTCTGCCCAAAATAGGAGATGTTAATGTTATCTTTTCAATGTAGGCCACTGAAAGGAAAAGACAAATAATCTCTTGCCAATAACTCTGATACCATTGGACACTGAAATTCTCAGTGAAAGCTTTGTGATCAAAGACATTGAATGAGATCCAAACTCTCCAACTCTGTTATAATAGTACTTATTGACCATTACTAAATATCATTTACTGTGACTGCTCTAAGAATTCTATATGTGTTCATTTACTTAAGACAATTATAATGTGCCATTTTAGTATTCATTCTACTAACGGAGACAGTCATACAAAAGTTAAGCTGCCTATTACTGGTATATCTATAGTACAATAGACAGTAAAAAAAAAAAACAAAAAAAAAAAAACAAAGAGGCCCCCAATATATGGACACATCCTTAATTCCAAGAAGGAATGAATATATGACATTCCAAAGAGAACGTGGCAGAGATGATGAGGTGACACACTTTGAAATTAGAAGGTAATTCTGTATAGGCCAGATGGGCCCAAAGTAACAACATAGGTTACTTAGAAATAGAGGAGACATGGCAAAAGAGAAGTGGTTGGAGAGAGAGTGGTTGGAGGAAGAGGAGGAGGAGGAGGAAGAGGAGAAGGAGGAGGAGGAGGAGGAGGGGGAGGAGGAGAAGACTACAAACCAAGGACTATGGACATTTCTAAAAGCTAGGGAACCAAGAGAAATGGATGCTCTCCCAAGAAAATCCATTCAAAGAATGCCACCCTGCCAACATCTATTTTTGCCCCGATGATGCCTGTGCTGGTACACAGGAATTCCAGCACTGTAGAATAGTAAGTTTCTGAAGTCCTAAACAATTACTTTGTTACAGCAACAATAGAAAACTAATACATAGTATGCCATTGGAATAAATAATAGCTAAGATTTCCTCTTACTTGGGCAGGTTGATTTTGTTGTAACTTTAGTGAATAGGTTTTTTGGTACATACAAGATGACTTACTGTGGCCTGAAAAAAAATAGGACATTGCTTATCACAAAAAGTAAGACACCATCATTATTCTAATCTTTATAATACAAAGAATCTGATGATTTCCCACCAAATTCTGTCACCAGTGCCAAAGTATCCTTTGAAGTCTCATAATAAAGTGAGTTGTTTAAAGAGAAGCACATTGTAATAAGCTTTTCCAAAGCAGTGTAATTTTTTCATATTTCTCATAAGTATCCATCATGGGCTGAGATTCAGGCCATCTCCTCCATATAGTAGTATTTATATACATAAATACAATGAAATTCCTTGGTGCCAATGGCTGACATTTTAATCCTAGCTACTCAAGTGGATAGGACCCAAGAATCAAGATTGGAAGCCATCCCCAGTAGACTCTAACAAACCAGCAAAAAGATCTAAGAGGAAGCATGGCTCAAGGGATAGAGCATCAGCTATGAGCATAAGAGGCTGAGTCAAGTGTGAGTCCCAGAGTTCAGCCCATAATAGTTACAAGATGGATAGAATTATACTTGTGGATGCGAGGGAAAAACTGGGAGAGTGCAAAGGAAAGGGGTGACATTGTCTGAAAAGAAATGTATGCATTACCTGGTTTATGTAACTGTAACCCTATGTACAACACCTTTATAATAGCAATAAGACACAAAAAAGGAGATAGAAAGATGCCACAAACCATCATTGAATGCACCACTTCTGATTGCTAGTTTCACTGCTGTAGCAGTAAGGTATAGGAGAAGAAAGGAAGCTATAGAAGTAGCAGTTTTGTAATGAATGATATTTTTTGATTGAAAAGAAATAATAAAGATTGGGCTGAGAAGGTGGCTCGGTAGTAAAGTGCTTGCCTTTCATGCATGAGGCCCTGGGTTCGATTCCTCAGAGCTACATAAGCAGAAAAAAGCTGGAAGTGGCACTGTGGCTTAAGTGGTAGAGCTGAAGAGCTCAGAGACAGCACCCAGGGCCAGAGTTCAGACCCCAAGACCGAGAAAGAAAGAAAGAAAGAAAGAAAGAAAGAAAGAAAGAAAGAAAGAAAGAAAGAAAGAAAGAAAGAAAGAAAGAAGGAAGGAAGGAAGGAAGGAAGGAAGGAAGGAAGGAAGGAAGGAAGGAAGGAAGGAAGGAAGGAAGGAAGGAAAGAAAGAAAGAGAAGGAAAGAAAGAAAGAAAGAAAGAGAGAAAGAGAGAGAGAAGGAAGGAAGGAAAGAAAGAAAGAAAGAGAGAGAGAGAGAGAGGTGGGAAGGTGGCTCGGTGGTAGAGCGCTTGCCTTGCATGCATGAGGCCCTATGTTCGATTCCTCAGCACCACATAAGCAAAAAGAAAAAAGCCAGAAGTGGCGCTGTGGCTCAAGTGGTAGAGCGTTAGCCTTGAGCTGAAGAGCTGAGGGACAGCGCCCAGGCCCAGAGTTCAGGCCCCATGACCGGACCCAAAAAAAAAGGAAAAAGAGAAAAGGAAAAGGAAGGAAGGAAGGAAGGAAGGAAGGAAGGAAGGAAGGAAGGAAGGAAGGAAGGAAGGAAAAGGCTTTAGAAAGGCCACCAGAAAAGTCAACTTCAAGTAAAGTTTTAAAATGAGCATTGCATCTATCTCCTACAACATTTCATTTGGACTATGTATTTAATTATAATATGAAACATTTTAATTGAAATAATAAGATAAAATCAGAACTTACACAAAAGATGATTCACCATCCTATTTCAAATGATTTAAGAGAGAATTGTTTATGAATGTGCTATGAGATCAATTTTGGAAAACAAGATGAAATTTTCTATTGCAAGGCAATTTACTGCTTTTCTTAATCTTGACTTAGGAAGCAATGTTTTAATTAAAGTACTATAATAATCTATAAGCTCATATGTGCAAGCTGAAATTAATGTATTCACTGTTGAATATATTAAGTGGGCCTAGTTGTTGGTAATAGAATCCTAACCTCTGTTACTTCTGACCTATAGGGTATCTTTGTTACTAGGGTTCAGCCTGATGGGCCAGCATCCAACCTACTGCAGCCTGGTGATAAGATTCTTCAGGTAAGATGAACAAAGCAATGCATGCAAAAGTCAACATGAAACAAACACATCATTAAGTGTCTTGAAATAAATGAGTGAAAATATGTCCTTGTCACATTGCTTGTTTGCCTCTATTGTTTTGGTGTTGAGAGACAAGTCAAAACAATTCAGTCTGACAGAATACCTTGTCCTTAGCACCTTAGAACCTGGCACATGAGAGCATCCTATGTATTTTTGTTGGCTTGAATGGAATTACTTGGTTATGTAAGAAGAATGTACACATACACACATGCAATATACATACACACAAGTGCACACAAACCTATGACTAACTATTAAACAAAAGCAAGTATAATTAAGAGCCCATGTTGGATATCTTTGTGACTTTAAAAGAGGAAGAAACACAGGCTCATCTTCACATTTTGAGAGTGAGCTTATTTCCGTTTAAATAATGTGAAATACGTGTTTGCATCACTCTCATTCCCTTATCCAGATGAACACAAAATTTACTGTAGCCGAGATGACTTCTTAGAATGTGTTGTTTGATGATGCTCTTTTCTGTGAAAGTCTACAAAGGTTTATTATTTTTCATGCCTAAGTTTGTATAACAACAGCAAGGTGCACAGAGGAGTGGATTCCTAATGCAAGAAGCTGAAAGAAATTAAAAACTCAATGAATTTTAAAAAAAAAAAAAAAAAAAAAAAAAAAACCAGCTGTGCGCCGGTGGCTCACTCCTGTAGTCCTAGCTGCTCAGGAGGCTGAGATCTAAGGATCGTGGTTCAAAGCCAGCCCAGGCAGGAAAGTCTGTGAGACTCTTATCTCCAATAAACCACTAGAAAAACCACAAGTGGTGCTGTGGCTCAAGAGGTAGAGTGCTTGCCTTAAGCTGAAGAGCTGAGGGACAGCGCCTAGGCCCATGACCAAAAAAAAATAAACAAAAACCTAGAAGTCTCGCTTCTCCATACATAGCAACTGAGCCTATGACTTTTTGTCGATGAGGGGTTTTTTGCTATAAATCTTAATTGCAAATCAAAATCCATTTTCAGTAAGAAATACATACACCTTAATCAAATAAATTATTGTATTCTATTTAATTCATAATAATGAATTCTTAAATTCAGTTAGCAATACTCTCTGAAAGAAGTAAGATTAATTGTCAATACCAAGCTAAGAGAGGAAGCTACACTTCAACTCTGTAATGCTACTGGCTATTTAAAGAATGCTGAAAAATGGCTTAATAACACTGGATTACCCATACAGTGTGAGTATTAGGTGTTCTTACTTGAGACAATTTACTTACAAAGCTTAATGACAATGAAGCTAGAAAAGTCAAATAAAAGGAAGAAAGAAATACACTTACAAACTTACTAACTACCCTAATTGATTAAAGTTATTCTTTGGCTGTTGTTATTTGTGGCACTGGGTTTTGAACTTGGGGCCTTGCACTTACTAGGCGGTGCTCTACCACATGAGCTATGCTTCCTACCCTCATTTTACTTTTGTTAATTTTTTAAAAAGTTCTCAGATTTAGGTCCAGGCTAACCTGGACAACAATTCTTGTTTAGGCTTCCTGCATAACTGGGTTGATAAATGGACAACATCATACTCACTAAGCTTCTTACTGGTTGAGATGGAGTCTCACAAATGCCTTTTTTGCTGAACTGACCTCAAACTGTGGTCTTTCTCATCCTCTCATAAGTAAATAGGAGTACAGCCATTCGCTACCATGCTTAGTCAGATACTGGCTTCGATTTAGCCCAATACCCAAAAAAGACATAGATAATAAGAGATAACTTTCCTAAATACCTCCAACCCAGTTTATTAGTCGTGCCTCTGTTTTTTTCTGTAACTCTTTTTGACTTACTGCTTTCTTATTCTGATATGATATTATTTGCATGTATTTGAATTACATAAAGATGTACGTATCTGGGATGGTACTAATTAAAACACATTCACATTATTTTTCTGTCATTTCCTATTCAATACAGGCACCCTGTAATTAATGACCATATCCAGTGACTTATGGTGGTATTATGCTCTAAGACAGTGTAGCATGTGGGATGAGCACTCTGATAGGAAAACTGACCCTTCCCAGCCTCACCATCTGTAAAGTTAAATTATGTAACATTGAGAGGAAGGAAAAGTGGGAAGAACAGGAACTGGAAACAAAATGCTAGTAGATTGAGCCATGTGGATTTGCCAATAGGAAACCATGATTAAAATATTAATTTGGTTATTTTAACATCAGAGTTTCTTCTTTCTAATGTTCTTTCCAGTTTTAAAAAAATTACTACATGCTTTACAACTCAAAGTTATCTGAATATAGAAAATCCATTAATTATAACTACTCTGTTAAAAAGATGAATAGATTAGGATAAAGAATGTATTATACTGAATAGTTAACAATGGGACTCACTTGTAAAAATATTGTGTTCTGTTAGGACATCCCACCCCATCCCCCTCTAGTTTACCTCCTCCTACCCTAAATTCGAGCCTACTTTTCTTTTTTTTTTTTTTTTTTTTGTCAGTGGTGGGGCTTGAACTCTGGGCCTTGGAACTGTCCCTATGCTCTTCAGCTCAAGGCACGTGCTCTACCACTTAAGCCATAGCTCCACTTCCAGTTTTCTGGCTGTTAATTGGAGATAAGAGTTTCATGGACTTTCCTGCCCTGGCTGGCTTTGAACTGCTATCCTCAGATCTCAGCCTCCTGAGTAGCTAGGATTACAGGCATGAGCCACCGGTGCCTGGCTCTTCAAACCTACTTTTAACTAGAGAAGATAGATTAAATAATTTATAGAGAATGGTGTAGTAGCATTTATTTTCTTCCAGCTACCAAAACAAATTATCCCATATTGGCATGCAATGGAAGATAAGTTTATAGTCCATTATTGTAAGAATTTGGAATTCATGATCCACATGCATTCCTGTTCTCTTGCTCTATTCTTTCCTTCCTTCTTTTTCCATGGCATCTTTCTTTCCTTCTTTTCTACCTTTTTTAGTTGTATTGTAGTTTGAACTCAGAGCCTAAAGGGCATCAACCATGCTAGGCAAGTATTCCTCCACTTGACTTAAGACTCTAGCTATTTTTTACTTTAGCTGTTTTTCAGAGGGAGTGGATCTCACATTTTTGCCCTAGCTCACCTGGATCACAATTCTCCTACTTATGCCTGCTATGTAGAAGAGATTACAGATGGACACACCATTATGACTAGCTTCTTGATTAAAATTAGTTATTAATTGTTTGCCCAAGTTGGCCTCAAAACAAACATCCCTGCCTCCCAAATAGCTGGGATTATAAGTCACCACACCCAGCCTCTGCCTGTATTTCTTAGATATCAAAATTGGCTTGGGGATAGAGTTTAGTGGTAGAGAGTTTCCTTGACCCATTCAAAATCCTGGCTTAGATCTTAGCACTGAAAAAAATAAGAGACTAAAAAAATAGTTCAACATGCTAATGATTCAAAAACACCAGATTGTTATCCTCTTCTCCTAGTCTTAAAATTCAAAAAAAGTAGTTCAAACAACCACGTAAGACTGGGAAGGTGGTTCAGTGGTAGAGCGCTTGCCGTGCATGCATGAGGCCCTGGGTTCGATTCCTCAGCACCACATAAGCAAAAAGAAAAAAGCCAGAAGTGGCGCTGTGGCTCAAGTGGTAGAGCACTAGCCTTGAGCTGAATTGCTAAGGGACAGTGCCTAGACCCAGAGTTCAGGCCCCACAACCAACAAAAAAAAAAAAAATCAACCAGTAAGTCTGCCAAAGGATATGTGGAATATTAGTAAAGCTATAGTCATGGTACTTTTTTCTTTTTAGTGGGTTTTTTAAATGTTCATTTTTATTTTTTTGGGTGGGGGGGAGGGGTCTGGTTGTGGGGCATAAACTCTGGGCCTGGGGGCTGTCCCTCAGCTCTTCAGCTCAAGGTGAGTGCTCTACCACTTGAGCCACAGCGCCACTTCCGGCTTTTTTTTTGCTTATGTGGTGCTGAGGAACCGAACCCAGGGCCTCAGGCATGCAAGGCAAGCACTCTACCACTGAGCCAACTTCCCAGCCCCAACATTCATTTTTATTAGTGTTGATTTGTGGTGGTTGTTTTTCTGCTTCCTAGCACTGTATCTTGGCCTTCATAGAATTTGATGCCCATGAGGTCTATTTTATCACTTTTCTTCCTCATAACTACTGATAACTCCATCTTACATGGTTAATCTTACCAAAATGTCATGAGAAACTAGATTAAGTTAGACGTTTCAGCACCATTACAAAATATCTGACCAAAAAAATAAATAAAACTATAGGGAAGAAGGATTCACGTTGCCAGTTTCAGAAGGTTCATTCCATCAATAGCTCCATTGCATTTGAGTCCGAGTGTCATGGGACAGAGCATCTGGCAGGGAGAATATGGCAGAAGAGAATAGTTCATATCATGGCAGACAAGACGGAAAGAGAAGAAAAGAGAGAAAGGAGAGAAGCAAGGAGATGAGAGAGGAAAGGAGAAGATAGAGGAGAGATGAGAGGGGGAAGGGAGAGAGAGAGAGAGAATGGACCAGGAACAAGCAAATGCCCTTCCAAAGAATAGCACCAGTGACCCCACTTCCCACTTCCTCTAACCAGGCCCCAGATCCTGCTTTCACTTCCTAATAGTGCCATCCTATTATGAATCCATCAGTAGATTATTGATTAGATCCGAGCCCTGGAAAGCCAATCACTTTCCTAAACCTCATCACCAAACCAACAAGCCACCAACAGGTGAGCCTTTTTGGAGAGACACTTCCTACCTAAAACATACCTAATAAATAAGGAAGAAGTTATGAGCCTTCAAAGAAGCTCATAGATTGAAAAGATGAATGTATTTAGATTCACTCAAAACATAACATTCTTGATTTTGTGATTTAACTAGAGTTGTAGCAACATAAATGAAGTGACACCTTGGACCACAGAAAAGGTTCACATTCATACACACACACACACACACACACACATACACATACTAAAAGTCCATGACACCATCCTCTTCTCTTCTCAACTG